CAACATCCCCAACCCAAATCCAACTCCACATACACCACTTCCAGGAACTCGCAAAAGTCTCCCTGCCCTTGAGAGCTCAGTCATAAGACGCAGCATCACATGATCCCCACCCACATGCCTGCTCCTCCCTTCCATTGGCTAGTCGGCCTGTCAGTTACCGTACCTCTTGATTCTGAATGGTGCATTGTTGCCAGGCAGATTATTAGTGTGAGTGAATTCTTCCTACGGCAAGACCAGTTTTGAAACGGTGTTTTTCACAGCCACCGACATTTGAGCGTGCTTTGCAGCCGATTAAGTACCTTGGATGTGCAATCACTTGTTAGAAAGGAGAGTGACACTGCAGGCAGTTTTGCGCACAGCAAGATCCCACAAAGAGCAATACGATAGTAACCAAGAGACCCGAAACTTCAGCTTTTCTGCTCCTCTGATGCTGCTTGGCCTGCTGTGTTCATCCAGCTCTACACCTTGTTATCTCAGATTCTCCAGCATCGGCAGTTCCTACTATCTCTGAATCCACTTATTCTAATCTCTTTTCCCAATACCTGGCCTGTAGCCTTGTATGCTATGACATTTCAAGTGTTCATCTGAATAGTTCTTAAATATCTTGATGGTTTCCTCCCTCTGCCTTTTAGGAAGTCAGTTCTAGATACCCACAACTCTCTGGATGAAAAAAAAAACCTTTTCTCACATCTCCTCCAAATCTCCTACTCCTTGCCTTAAAACTGTACCCTTCTGGTTGTTGAGCCCTTCCCTAAGGGGCAAGTTTTCTCCCTTTCTACTGTATACCCCTCAGAACTTGGTGTACCTCAGTCAGATTCCAGACCCCTCCCCTCAGCCTTCTCTATTCTAAGGAAAATAACCCCAGCCTATCCAATCTCTCTTCAAAGCTCCAGCCCAGATAATATCCTGGTGAATCTCCTCTGCAACCTGTCTAGTGCAATCACATCGTTCTAATAGTGAATAGAACTGCACACAATACTCCAACTATGACCTATCAAACATCATATACAGCTCCATCATAATTTCCTTGTTGTTGTGCTTTTTTAAAGACACAAACATTACTTCACTTACAGCTAACATAATCTAGACTCTGTAATATCTGTCTATATGCCGTGTTGAATCCAGCTACAGGTTCCATCCAGTTTAAATATGTATTAAAATATTGTCCTAAAGAAGAATTCAGTTCACTTAATGATTCCTGATCAATTTCACATCAATTTCACTAAAATTTCATATCAGCAAGCAATCATCAAATTTAATTGGCAATAAACTGAATAAAATGGAGCTGTCCTACATTATCCACAGAGACATAGACAGATAGAGAGACAGAGAGAGAGAGAGAGGGAGATGAGAACCTATCCTAAGAAGAAAGTTTTGCTTTTGCAGCTAGAAGGTAAACAGAAAACACTGCATCATTCAGTGGGGATCCATGTCCCACTGCCTTCAATGGGATGAGCAAAATGTGGTTTGACTCTTAACCGAATCGCTGACTTTATGAAATGATCCAGCAAAATGCTCTGTCATATTAAATCTGTGGCAAAGCCTTAAGGATGAGGGTAATAAAACTAACAGAACCATGGTGTGTATCTGGGGTTAGGTCACAGAGCAGCTATCGTTAAAACAGGGTTAAGGGAACAAATGGTCACTTCCTGATCCGGGGTTCCATTACATCTTCACTTTAAATACCACGGCAATGGGGAAGAATAACCTGGTGGCCCTGGAATTCCTGGTCCTGGAGCACCGAGATAACCTTTCCTTCCTGGGTATCCTGGTCGGGATAATCCTGGGAATCCTTGTGGACCTTTCACACCTGCAACATAAAAATGATTTTGAAGTGAGACAGCCAAATAGCTTTACACCAATTAGTGTCAATCACGACCTGTCCCTGGGATTAAGGACAGTCTAAAACATCTCCATTCTACCTTTATCTCCGGTTAAGCCTGGTGGTCCCCTCAGTCCAGGAGGTCCTGGAGTTCCACAAGGAATAGCTGTGAAGATTCACCAAATAATCCAAATTAATCTCAACAAATTCAGTGTAGACCTCAAAAATCAAAACCCTGTTATAATGGAATAATAATGAAATGCACATTATACAAAATGCATACATGCTGGACGTGGGCATCACTGACTTGGCAAGCATTTATTGCCCATCATAAGTGCCCTTGAAAAGGTGGTGCTGGGCTGCCTTCCTGAATTATCACTAACCAGGTGAGATGCAGCATTGACCCTCAATGCTGTTAAAGAGGGAGTTCCAGGACTTTGACCTAGAGACGGTGATATGTTTCTAACTGAGGTCGGTGTGTGTTTGAAAGGGAACTTGCAGTTGGTGGTGTTTCCTGATACAGGCTGCAGCTTTGAAAGATGTTGTCCAGAGGTTTGGTGATTAGCTACAGTGCATCTTGTAGATGGTACACATTGCTCCCAATGTTCATTGGTGCTAAGGGAGTGTGTGGCCATATCGTTGGATGGGCTGCTAAACATGCAAGCTGCCTTGTCTTGGATGGTGCTAAACTTCTTGAGTATGGTTGGAACCACACTCATGCGGGTAAGTGGGTAATATTCTGTCACATTCCAGATTTGTGCCCTGTATATGGTGAATGGACATTGGGAATGTAGGAGCTGAGTTACTGCTGCAGATTTTTTCGCCTCTGACCTGCTCTTGGAGCAACAGTATTTATATGACTGCTCTAGTTCAGTTTCCAGTCAAAGGTAATTCTCATAATATTGATCGTGAAAGATTTGGTGACTATATAGAAACACCTATTATAATGAAGGACTCTCTGTACAGACTGTTCTGGTTATCATGATACTTCTCAGAATAAGAATCTTAAGAAAGTTCCACAGTAGAATGAACAGACCTGATAAGATATTTCAAAGAACGTGTATGTACTTCACTTCTCTGGGTCTGAGCATGAGTGAGTGCTATCAAGCAGGAACTGGGAACTCAAGATAACAGATGGGCAAACACAGTCTGCGGACTTCTGATTTCCTGACCTCTACCTAGTGGCTTAATAATAGTTATCTTATGATCATGGCTATTTGGCAAATCTTTGAGTCCTAATAACAACATTACAATGAACTGTTTTTAAGATGCCGAGTTATGCTTGCTGTGTGTGTTAGCATCATGCTGGGCTGGACATGAATGGATCTCCCATTGTAGCTTTACGTCTAAACATATAATAGCATTTTAAGTCACAGGTAAGACTCAACTCTGTCATACCAATCACATGGAGCCCGCAATCATAAACAGAAGAGAGATACACAAAGTAAAGCAAATGCCGTCTCCCTCAAATGTGCAAACAAAATTATACCCTTATAGAATCACAGAGATTAAAGTGCAATCCATTGTACCAATCTTCAACTGAAGGAGTGCAATGTAACTACTTTCACCTTCCCTTTTCCCATATTTCGCCTCTTTCTAAATGATTCTTCAATTGCCAATGTTCTAGTTTCTATCTGAATAACCCCCTCTTGTTGTTAAGTATGCCCTGTGCCAATTCTCCTTTGAGAGAACACTTCTTATCAGTTCCCCTTTCAATGTCCCAGGGAGAACTTTCAAGCTGTGGCCCCGCCCCCCCATCTTCGTCGCTGATTCACAACTAAGGAACCTGCTTTCAATTCTCACTCTCGAGGTCTCCTTCTGGACTGTGTTGATTGATGTCAGTATCAGGGGAAGATAAACAGATGAAAGATGATTAATTGGAGGTGGCTAAGAAAACGCATCCTATACCTGGTCGGAATCTTGTGCCATTGCTGTCCACCAGCAGGATTTCCTGTTCATCAATGCAGTCACCTACCATTCAACAGAAACAAATGGTGACTAAAAATTTTAATGATATTGAACAGGGTGGTAGCACGGTTAAAAATGCTCGCTGAAGGTAACTATTTACTAGTCATTTTCACTGAGATTTTATGGAGAAGGTCTTGGAATGTTATTCATAAGATTTATGACCTTCTCCACGGCTCTTATTCTACCCAAAGGGCATTGACAAACCAGTTAGCCATTGGTGAAACAGAATTTGTTAAAGCTGTTCTTTTGTGATAGCACTGGTGTCGCTCAGTCTCATGTTCTGAAACTGGGTTTCCACTCTCTCTGATACAAGAGGTGGCTAGCATTCCAGAGTTACCACCTAATCTCAGAATAAATATTGGACAATGGTGTGGAAATCCAGGGCAGATTCTGCAACCCGATGCTAAAACCGGCTTCTGGGAGAAGACAAATCATCAGGCATTGAAGGCCGAAGCCCTCTGACACTCGTTCCATTAAAACATGCTTGACATGTCATTATGGAGTGTTTACCCAAGATGATCTGGGATGTCCAATGGCAGAGTCACCCCTGATAGTATGACAGGTGTCAGCAGCAGGCTAGTGAACAAGGCCTGATACCAACTGAACAAAGATATATAAAGGAAATAAAGATGAAGAATGCAAGGATAGTCCCCCTTGGTGCAACACTATGGCCTTTAGTGTTAGTCCTCAACTTTGTGCCGCAAGATGCCTTCTATCTGGAGAAAAGTTTTATAACGCCACCAACGATTTCCATAGCTAAGGCCTGGAAGGTGAAACACTTACCTGGAGTTCCAGGGAGGCCTGGAAGTCCTGGAATTCCTGGTGTACCACCGGGTCCGAAGTCACCAGGAGGCCCTGGTCTTCCTTGAGGGCCTTGAATGCCCACACCGGGCAGGCCAGGTGTACCCGTGATCCCTTTTCTGCCTGGGACACCCGGGCTACCTGTATCACCAGGGTAACCTTCCCAAGCATCGCCCTGGAATACAGGGTAAACAATGTGTTCAGGCAATTGACCAGGCACCTACCACTACAGCATCTTAGCAAAAAACAACTCCCATCTATAAAAGGTAAAGTCACCTTAGTGCTATCAGTCCAAAGGGCTACTCTCTCATCAGAGAGAGAGAGCAGGGCAGCTGGTGGTGAGTTTAACGTGTTGGTCACCACACCTCATAAAAGGAGAGGTTGAGAGGGTGGGACTTCCCATCTGCACAGCACCTATAACAATTTAACATTTTCCCAGAATTAAGACAAGTTGGTCAATAAGATGGGCTTAAAGGAGCATCCTAAAAGCAGAGGGATTTGGGGAAGTAATTCTAGGGTTTAGAGCTTGAGCAGCTGACTGCATGGCTGTCAATGCTGGTGCAGAGGAGACAGGGCAGGCCTAAAAGCCCAAATCTGCAAAGTTATCAACACCGAGTTCATCAGTAATATTGTTCATTGCCCTGTCACTCACTCAGGATTGACCATACCAGCTTGGCCTACACTCTAACTGAAACATGCATACAACATCAACACTGCAGCTTCAGCATCTACAGCACAACACTGCAGCTCCAATGCCTACAATATCAACACTGCAGCTCCAGCACATACGACACTGCAGCTCCATTGTCTACAAAATCAACACTGCAGCTCCAATGCCTACAATATCAACACTGCAGCTCCATTGCCGACAATATCAACACTGCAGCTTCAGCACATACAACACTGCAGCTCCAATGCCTACAATATCAATACTGCAGCTCCAGCACACACAACACTGCAGCTCCATTGCCGACAATATCAACACTGCAGCTCCAGCACATACAACAGTGCAGCTCCAATGCCTACAATATCAACACTGCAGCTCCTGCACACACAACACTGCAGCTCCAATGCCTACAATATCAATACTGCAGCTCCAGCACACACGACACTGCAGCTCCAATGCCGACAATATCAACACTGCAG